TATCTTTATTTTTCTTAATCCGTCCTTCTATAATTAAATGTAAGATCGGAATTGCCTCTCGAGTAGCCATACTTTTTCTAAAACCAAACTGATCCTCATCTAGTGCCTCTTCAATTTTCCTTTATATTCTTCTGTATATTATTCTAGTTAATAATTTTGATGCATGAGATATAAAGCTCATTGTGTTGTAGTTCTCACATTTGTCTGCTCTTGCTTTCTTGGGAAGTGCGAAGATAATGCTCTTTTAGAAGTCTGATGGTATTTCTCCGGACTCATAGATTTTGGACACCAGATTGAATAACCTTCTAGTTCCTTCATCCTCCATAGATTGCAATAATTCTGAAGATATGTCATCTACTCCCACTGCCCTGTTTGAGCCTAAGTCTTTCAGAGCTCTGTCAAATTCAAATCGTAGTACTGGAACTGTGCAATAACATAAGATTATTATTATTATTACCATCCATAAAATGTCACTATTCTGATGATAGTGACTACATAGTCTAAGGCAGTGGTCCCCAATGTGGTGCCCGCAGGCACCATGGCGCCTGCCAAGGCTATTTTCGGGTGCCTGCGTTGTTACGGAATAATGAAGGCCGTTCAACCATGAACATTATAAAATCAAAGCACAGATCTCGACTTATTAACACCCATCTTGACGATTGTTTGCGAGCAAGAACATCATCCTACACCCCCAAATTTAAAAAACTGGCCGATGAAATGCAGTGCCAAACATCACGCTAACTTCTCACTTGAGTAATAATAATTGTACTTATAAAACTACGCATTTTTGATTGCATGGTTTCTTGTATCATTAAACGTGTTGTTTTGTGTATTATTTAGTGTCTAGAGAAAAGAAAATTTGGCTTTGTTAATTGGTTGGTGGCCGCCACGATCTCATAAACTCTCAAATGTGCCCGTAGGCACAAAAGGGTTGTGGACCACTGGTCTAAGGCATAGGTCCCAAGCACTTGGGCATGGAATCAAGGATTTGAATCCCACTCAAGGCACGTATGTTCACCCGCGTCTTTCTGTGTTGTGCTGCTCTGTGTAGGTAAAGGCCTTACATTGAGCTGATCACTCGTCCAAGGAGTCCTACCATTCATAATTTCAGAATTATTTCTGAATCCATAAAGGCTGAAGAAGAAGAAAAAAGAATATGAAATTGTCACTATTAAGTCAAACTGAAAGGACAAGTGATGACTACTCAGTTTGTTTACTTATTACTTTGTCAACTTACTTGATTTTTTCAAACTTTGCAGGTATTTTCATATTTCCTCTTAAAATATATTTACCTGGTGATTACTGTCATATATGATGCCTTGTCTAATCCTGACCAGGGTCCTTTGAAAGCCACCATTGACAGGATTAAAGCTGCTGTAACTAAAGTGATGGATTTAGCTATTCCCTTTGGTGGTTTAGGAAGAATAAGTCGATGACAGAGGCAGTATGACTTCAGAATCGTTGGCAAACATCGACCAGACTACACAGCGCAACAACCCAGAAGACAGAAATCTTCATACTCACTGCTGTGAAAACCTCAAATCTTAAATTTATAAACTTGTCAGGAGACTAAAATATGTCCTTCCTCAGTTGAAACAGCTCAGAAATTTTCCTTTTTTTCAGTGCTGTTTCCTCATGCGTTACTTGTCCATCTGCTATGTGTGTGTGTACATCAGCCGCGAATGCCATTAATTCAGTCGTATGTTTCAGATGCATTGCGCCATTTGCAGTAATGCAGGCGAAGTGTTCGTTTGCAGCAATCCACAATGCTGCAAGTAAGTGATTTCTTCCTTCATTCTGAATGTTATGAAGTCCGGTGAAAATGTTGTTTTAATCATCACCATCATCATAATAGACTGACTGAAATATTTCGGCTTCTCAAGAAAATTTTAGGACAGCAGCAAACTGCTATAAGCATAAAGTATTTGGGATGCATTTTCCATTCACTGTTGTGTTAGTTTCTGTACACTTTTGAAAAATAAAACACAGAAATTAGGTAGCAATAAATATATGTCACTGTAAATTAAGAACAGAAATTATGCAATTTTAGTGAGAAATATCTATAATCATATTGCGTTCAAACTTCTTTAAGCATTCTACCTCCAGTTTTAACAAGAGGCTGGTGATATTGAATTTGAACAAGGAAAATTCATTATTGCTGTTTCTCTAGTCTTGAACCATTCACAATGCCAAAATTAAACAATGACGTTTTGGGAGCTGACCCTGCTTTCATCTTCAAGAGATAATGCCTACTCTGTTGGGTGTGACAGAATGGGCTAATCCCACAGATTGAGATTCACCTGAAGACAGAAGCAGAGCAACTTCCTGAAATGTAGTGGTTTCATTTTAGAATACTGTATGATGGATCAAGTCCAAAGAAACAGCAATACTGAATGTAACACGCCATCATTAAGACCATCTATCCTTCACACTGAACGTTTTAGTTTTTTAAGATAGTTATATACTAAATATCTTGCAACAGTGATTCTCCAACTTTCTCAGTTCACACAGAACCTGGATATCATGGTGCTCTTTGCAGACCACCCAGAAACATGTTTTTATGACACCATTCAAATTAAGAACAATGTTACTATAAAGTTTTCAGCCAAATTGGCGGCTGAAGCGTGCACCAATCACATGTGCTGTGCCATGGTAGGAAGTAGTGGTGGTAGGTGGAGGGGTGAGATAGTGAGGAAACAACATAGAGTGGTGCCAAATGTAGCATCGTGGAACATTGGATTCCAGTGAATGGTTACAACACTACGCAAAGAACATGCAAGAATTGGCAACAATGCAGTGCGGCTGCTGATGCTTCTACCACGGGGTTTCTGATCAGACTGAGATCTCCCTGCTTACCAACAGACCTTCTTTGCGCTGATTGGTCACTCACAAAGAGCAGAACTCGACTCAGCCGCCAATTCCACTGAAAAATAGTATGCTGTCATGTTACATTACAGTCTGCACAGCTCAACAAACAATAAATAAAAATTGTACATAACTTTTATCAAATTTTAGAGTATACTGCCATGTCTGCATTGATTTGCTGGCTTCAGAAGGGGCAAAGAATTGGATACGGGAAAAGGAACCGTGGCTTTGTTTTCTGTGTGATGATCCATTGTCATCTATGCATGGTTTCATAAAGCCAAGACCCGATTGGATGAACTGTCAGAGGGTATGTACATGTCTATTGTAAAGCTGTCTTAATATGCCTGCTGCCCATGAACTTTAACCTTTTATTGCCATCTGTCTCAGAGAAATGCTATACAAGGATATTTAAACTTGCATGTACGGTTTGTTTTAAAAAATATCTACCATGCTGCAAGTGTAAATGTGTTACTCTTGTTACAGATTTCTGCTCTTTTCCCAGCGAATAACATTATGTCATCCATTCCTCTGTCAAAAAAATCAAAATCTGGCTTGAGGGTGTTGTCTCTCTTTGATGGAATTAGTACAGGTAAGATTGACAATTCGGAACCTAAAAGCGTTTTGTGAATCAGATTACACTATATTACAGTTGTATAAGATGGTAAGCTAAGATTCATGATCTTTTAGATGAATTTAACATGTATTCATAATTGACAGGTTGCTATTTTCCACACATTTTAATTTGTTGGAATTTCAAGAATGGTTATACACAGCATGAGGCTCAGCAAAAACAGTAGTTACCAGCACATAATTTATGAGTTAGAGTTCTATACTTTTTAATTCAATAATACTCCAGTGTTCTGCAACCTTTATTTGCCCACACCACACCTTAATTTGCCAGACTTACTGAGTGGTCCTGAACAACATTATAATGCCTGATGTCATTATAGTAACATATTAAGGGGCCAAGTAACATCTGACCATGTTTGTAGTTTATTTTTTACCATACTTGTTTTATTTTTGAAGATATTAGACACATTAAAAACAAAACATGTGTCTCTTTCATATCTGAAGTGTTTAACTATATAGAATTAAAATAAACCATAAATCTGATTAAAATAAATGGTCAGTGACTTACTCATGTGTGTGGTCTTTTGCAGTACTATGTATGCACTGTGAGTGACATCTCAGTGGAATATCTTGAATGATGATTCGATTAGTATTTAACTTATGACACTTGCATCTGACACATTGGTAAAAGGTTTCCTGCATACCACGTCTGGGCACTAACAAAGGTTGAAAGAAAAATTCTCACTGCTGGATGTGTGTGACTGACTTGTTATTTGCTGAAATTCCAGTTTGGTTCCTTGCAGGAATGGTAGTTCTCAAAATGATGGGAATAAAAGTTGAAAAATATTATGCTTCAGAAGTGGACAAAGATGCTATAAATGTTAGCAAAGTTAATCATGGAGACAGCATTGAGCATATAGGAGACGTAGAATTGTTGAGCCCCGAAAAGTTGTCTCGTCTTGGTCCCATAGATTTGCTCATAGGTGGTTCTCCATGTACTGAATTAAGTCTGGTCAACCCTGCTCGCAAGGGCCTCTACGGTAAGTGGGTACTGTTTAGGTAAGCACATTACAGTATTCTTAACATTTTAAAACCAAAGATCTTATGAGTAATATTTCATAATTCATTTCGTATTGTGAAGGAAACAGTACATTTCACCATTACAAAGATCAATTTGTTAATGCTGTTTAAGGAATTTACTCTCTGTTTACACTGATTATCATATGAAACACACAAATAAAAATGCATTTTTCAAGCAGGTGGGACACATATTTACCACTTGGCTGTAAAGGTTTTTTTTTCTGCTCTGTAGAAACTGACTGTCACATCACCAATACACTCTCTGGCACTCGTACTGAATTATGATTTGTCTGAATTCTGTAACAACATAGTATTTTCAATGATTACAGAAACTGAGATGTCTCACAACATTCAAATTAATTTCCCAGAAACATAAAACAGTCTGTAATTCTGCTAATGACAACCCATATTTTCATTTCTAAGATCTATAAATTTCTGCATTAAGATTCCAAAGAGATAATATTCCCCCCCCCCACATTATATGTTTTCATCAAATGCTGGTGCACTGCCCTGTTGGAAAAAACAATTACTTCAGTTCAGAGTGTCCAGAGTATTATTAATATAACACTTTGAGATATTCTCAGATATAACAGTACCCTCATTATTTTGTGATAATACCTTTTATTAAATTTGGCCATAATGCTAACTAGCATAGGTTCGAACAGAACTCCTTTCAGCTGCTGATCACATAACTAAATGGAAGGTCTATCTAATATGCAAAATATGTGTGTTTTCATTGCTGAAAGTCACCATATCTACTGCAGTAAAATTGTAAACAAAACATGACATACGTAGACATTATGATACAAATACTGTATTTCATGTCAGCATGTCATAGCCATTCAACTCGTTAAAACAAGTCTTAAAGAATAGGGTCAAATGTTTTGGTTAGATTAATCTACCTCACAATGGGGTCCAGTGAATGGCTGTTTGTAAACACCGAAAAGAAACGTAAGTCCCATAGAAGGTGGAGAATTTTCTGACTTAAAAAACCAATTACTGGCTTTTAACATGGACTCTGTTTGAGGGAGTTAATTAATCAGAGTAGATAAGATCTGATGTTCTACAGTTACAAGTGATGTTATATCTAGGAAAATATTCTGTTTCATGTAATAAGACATTAAACATTATACAGTGGTTATGATGCATTTTCTTCAGAAACACTGTGATGTTGGTTGATCTATTTTGTTTAGCAAGATATATACATCACAACACTGAAATATAAGACTGAATAACTTTTGCAGTATCATTCACAAATATTAATTCACTGATGTGTTTTTCTTTCTTCAGACACAGAAGGATCTGGTTACTTATTCTTTGATTTCTACCGAGTTTTGATGACACTTCAAGTACTGCATGGTAAAAACATATTCTGGATATTTGAAAACACTGCTTCAATGCCATACAGATTGAGGAATGTTATAACTAGGTAATGCTTTAATTAGGTCAAAGCTTGAGTATGCCTTAGTTGTGTGGAATAATCTTACACAGACAGATTCTAATAAATTGGAAAATATTCAAAGAAAATTTGCCAGTTTGTGCAATTACCGATTTTTTCAGTTAAATATCCCATGCAAATATGAATTGATCCTATCTACTTTAAATTTTAGAACACTTTATTCCAGACGACAACATCTTGATGCTTTATTTCTTGTTAATGTCTTTAAGGGCAAAATAAATTGCAATTCCATTATGGATGCTGTTGGTTTACGTGTGCCAGCGAGGCAAATAAGAGAATTTTCTACTTTTAGTGTGAGCAGTGCACTAAGACATAGTCCTTCAGCCAGGTGCGTCATCACTGCAAATGACGTATGTAAATCTTTGGACGTATTTCGCATAACATTGTCTCCCTTGAGGGCACGTTCTCAATAAGGGAAAAGATCTAGATAGGTGTCTTGGTAGATGATCTAGCTTGGTTATCTGTTTTTTGTATTTCTTTAACGTTTTACAATTATATTAGTGTTCCCTAGGTGGATTATTGGTTTTTATTTATATTTCTTCATTTATTTTGCTTTGTGTTTAATATTGTTTCTTTTTTGGGCTTCCCTGCATTTGGCTGTTATATTTAATACTGTACATGTATAAGTTTAAGTAATCTCTTTTTGTAGTATTTTTCTTTATTATTTCATTATTATTGTATATATTATCAGTGTTTGCCTGTTATTGGCTTCTTGCTGTTGGCAAACACGCAAATAAATTAATTGAATTGAATTGAAGCTATAACATAAACGTTCATGACAAATTGCATGTGTAATATACACCAAGATGTTACATGTTGTATGACTGAGAATATATTTTGTTTGAAGGTTCCTAGGTTGTGATCCAGTCGTTATTGATGCATCATGGTTGTCTGCACAGCGCCGGGCACGTTTTTTCTGGGGCAACATTCCGGGTTTGGGAAGGACAGAGCTTCCCGAGATTAATATGAAACTAGATGAATGTCTGATGCCAGGCATGGAAAGGAAAGCTGTGGTTGAAAAAATAAGGACAGTGACCACCCAGTCAAACTCTCTTCTTCAGGGTGAGTGACATCACGCTAGTGTAAGTCGTCTATTGTGCAATTCTGTCACTGGCACACTGCATGGTCCTATACCTAACCCTTTCGCAACCAATATAGTTAGCTAGTTATATTATTTTATATGTATCATGTTAAGAAGTATGTGATTCTTCTTTTGTTTTTCTGTAATCCTAAGGCAGTCATGTGTTATATTATACTGTGTGAGCTTCTTATTATTGGAGAGCTTCTCTCTGTCAGAGGCAAGTAAATAAATAATTAAATGTTTTTGGACTTATTAAAAAGTTCTTTATCACAAATTTTTGGAGAGATAGGTAATGAAGATTGCTGTCTTCTGGGTTGTTGCGCCATGTAGTCTGGTAGATGTCCACCAGACTACATGGCGTAACAACCCAGAAGACAGCCATCTTCAGACTCGCCACCGTGAAAACCCCAAATCCTACAGAACGGTAATACTTTCTGCTGCACTGAACTCCAGTCTGTAATTTACATTGCTATGCCGAAAATTAACTACTGTTGGGATTTATTTGGTATTTCAGGTAAGAATAGGATATTTCCTGTGAAAATGAAAGAGGAAATGGACGCAGTATGGATAACAGAACTGGAAGTTATCTTTGGTTTACCACTCCATTACACAGACACTGGGAACCTTCAGTTACGTGAACGACGACAACTTCTGGGCAGAGCATGGAGTGTACCTGTGGTAAAACACATCTTGCAACCACTGAAGTTGTATTTCAAGTGTGAAAGGGAGAAAAGTGTAAAACAGGGGAAAATGACCACATAAAGCACATGTGGAACCAATACCATTAGAATCATCACTACCACATTCCAAATTCAGGTTATCATGTCTTTCAGTTTTAAATCGTCTTACTTTTGGTCTTGGTTCAGATACATGTTCATTACTTCTCTTTTTACTGGATACATCTTACAGTTTTACTATAGTTTTGCCAAATTTCATGAAAGGTTTACTCCATTTCACAGGGCTGCTGCAATAACATTTGTCTGAAAAAATTATTAAAAACTTTGTCAAATTATGAGTTGTATCATGTAGCATCTATTGCATGCACGTGCACAGAGACACAACATTCACAGCAGGGTAAAAAAATTTCAAAACTTAGTCAGGATTGGCCTTAGAAGCTGGGCTGTCACCCAAGTCAGACAGACTTCAGTATTTTGAAGAATATTATCAATACAGTTTCTTTAACCAATCAAAGCCCATGTGTGTTTAATTTTATGGTCCTTGTTGCATCCAATCTGTACATGTGACATACTGTAATAATGTGTTCAGAACAAAGCTTTCACCAGTCATATAAGTATGCAGAGTTGTCAGATAACAATGATGAAAAAGTATGTACTCAATTGAATAAAAATTTTCTTGGATATTATCCATCGTCTAGATAGAGTCCCATCTCCGAAACGTCGTTTTACGTTTTATATTTACTAGACGATGGATAATATCCAAGAAATTTTTTATTCAATTGACTCTTCACCATCGTCAAGAAGTTTTAAGTATGTACTCATTCTAGACTCTACGATAGTGAAATGTGACTAGAAGAGGTTTTCAGCCGTTTCACGTGATAACACCTTGCAAACGCAGTAACATCAAGCTTTCTTATGAAAACCTATATTTTGTTAATATACTATAGCTCCTGAGCAAATCAAGAAATGAAATAGTTAACATTTGGTCAATTTTAAATGGCTATGAGCAACAGCTTGCTCTATTGCTCATGTTGTGGAATGAATATCATGGGAAGCGTAAGTTTCCTCTCCATCAGGTTCAACACCTTCACGTGATGCCTGGAGAAAACTCTGTAGAATATATGGAAAGAGCAGAAGTTCCTCTATACCTGGCATTTCAGTTTGGGGTAACATGATAACATGCCCTTGTGAAGTCGCTGAAACGCTTGAATCTTCATTCGCTTTCATCAGCAGTTTTGTACACTATGACCCAACACTTTTACAAATTAAGAGCAATGTGGAGAAAAAGAGATTAATTTTAAATTTGCAAGGGAAGAACATTACGTGCCCTTTTCAATGGACTGCCAATCTACAACTGCATTTGGACGGAGAATGCCTTTCTTCTTATGTGGAAAAAAGGTACAACAATCTGCATTTTGAAACTGGGAAGGACTCTCTCCTAGTCACAAGTTCCAAGCCTATATAATTAGCCAGTTGTTTATGTAAAATCCTAGAGCAAGTGGTTAACCACCAATTTACATGGACAATGGAACACGATGGCCACCCATCTAATTCCTAGTGTTAATTCAGATGTCAACACTCAAGAGTACATCACCTGGTCCAACTGCAGCATTTTACATTATATGTATATTATATATAATGTCTAGGGTTCTAGGCAAAGTTTTCCTATCTCCACACAAAATAAATAAATAGTGATAAAATAAAGATACAAAAAGCATTTAAATAAAAAATACTTTTCCCTCAACTATAAAGGGAGAATACTGCAAAAGTAGTTATGCTTTGTCTAGAACATAACATACAGAACAACAATTTGAGTAAAGTTCATATGTAACTGATAAAACTTACATAATTTTGGACCTTATCAAGTGGAGTTTCAAGAGGTAAATTATCTTTTGCTGACTCAGTTTGGGTGAAATTCTTCAGCAGCCTCCTGATGGTATTCTGTGCATTCACACATCCTGAATACAATCCATAAGATAATCCTCCAGGGAGGAGACATCAGTCAGAAATTTAAAATAACAAAATATGTAACTGAAAAAGTTTTCTCGAAAAGCATCGAAATTAAGTGCATGAACCTGTCCAACTTTCAACAAAAGGGGTGTCCAAGATATAGGGTATTGTGGACATGTAAAATTGTAGAATATTCGCCGGTTCCAATTAAAAGGGTTGTCCAGGATATAGGGGTGTCCAACTTGAGGGATTTTACTGTACATAATTACGTTTTAATATTAATCATGCAACTGTTGACGATGAGGAAGTCAGAGTGATTGTTGAGGAGGAGAAAATTCTTCGCTTATTGGGGAAACCTTGCAAGCACTGGAAGTGTCAACATCTCGTTGTGTCTTCTGTCTAGGAATGGACAAGTAGGAATTGGCCTTTTTTAAGTTCCACCCCGGCAAGCTTTCCCGGGCAGTCCGCAAAAAGCTGAAGGCGACATCACAGCTGTGGGAAATCAAGAGACCGTGGAATCCACTGTTTCTTGAATTCTCACAGCGGTGCTGTCCGACGTCAGCTTCCTCAGGATGTTGAGACGATAGGTCTGCGATCTCTGAATGCGGGATGGGGCCCCAATAATTACGTTCTAATATTAATCATCCAACTGTTGACGATGAGGTAGTCAGGGTGATTGTTGAGGAGGAGAATATTCTTCGCGGATTGGGAGATCCCTGTGTTGAGACGATAGGTCTGCGATCTCTGAATGCGGGATGGGGCCCCAATAATTACGTTCTAATATTAATCATCCAACTGTTGACGATGAGGTAGTCAGGGTGATTGTTGAGGAGGAGAATATTCTTCGCGGATTGGGAGATCCCTGCGAGCACTGGAAGTGTCAACATCTCGTTGTGTCTTCTGTCTACGAATGGACAAGGAGGAATAGGCCTTTTTTAAGTTCCACCCCGGCAAGCTTTCCCCGGGCCGTCCGCAGGAAGCTGAAGGCGGAGATCACAGCTGTGAGAAGTCAAGAGACCGTGGAATCGGCCGCGGAAAAAGCGTTGTGCGATCTAATCACATTTCTTCTTGTCCATACGCAGACAGAAAACACAACGAGAAATTGCTCCTTCCAGTGCTCGCACGGTTCTCCAAATCCGCGAAAAATATTCTCCTCCTCAACAATCACTCCGAATATTTCATCATCACACAATTCCATGGTTAATATTAGAACGTAATGATTGGGGCCCCACCCCGCCCCAATCTGTGGTTGCCAACCTAAATTTCTAACGCAACCTCCAATTACCTAAACGGCGACGGAGTGACGACTCGCATCACCCGCTTGGTCATCTTCCAAAAGCGACTGGTCCTCACAGTCCAAGGATTACAGCGTGACCGTCAAATTTTCGCTCCTCCACTCGTTGAGACGATATTTCTCCGATTTTTGAAGCGGGATGGGGCCCCAATAATTACGTTCTAATATTAATCATCCAACTGTTGACGATGAGGTAGTCAGGGTGATTGTTGAGGAGGAGAATATTCTTCGCGGATTGGGAGATCCCTGCGAGCACTGGAAGTGTCAACATCTCGTTGTGTCTTCTGTCTACGAATGGACAAGGAGGAATAGGCCTTTTTTAAGTTCCACCCCGGCAAGCTTTCCCCGGGCCGTCCGCAGGAAGCTGAAGGCGGAGATCACAGCTGTGAGAAGTCAAGAGACCGTGGAATCGGCCGCGGAAAAAGCGTTGTGCGATCTAATCACTGGCTAGTCCAGTGGGCTCACGCACGTCTGAAACGTATGGTGGGATGTGAGTTGGTCCGTGTCTCCCACAATTCACTGAGACCCACCGCGATGATGCGGAAAGACAACGACTTGGATGCGTCTAACTCGGGCTGTTCAGTGGAACACGCCTCTAGGCGCTTGGCACTCGGGCCACTGTCCGGAGCCGAGACCTTTTCTCTGCCGCTACAGACAATAGTTCTCAGACCTGATGGTGGGCTCACGCACGTCTGAAACGTATGGTGGGATGTGGGAGAATATTCTTCGCGGATTGGGAGATCCCTGCAAGCACTGGAAGTGTCAACATCTCGTTGTGTCTTCTGTCTACGAATGGAAAAGGAGGAATTGGCCTTTTTTAAGTTCCACCCCGTCAAGCTTTCCCCGGGCCGTCCGCAGGAAGCTGAAGGCGGAGATCACAGCTGTGAGAAGTCAAGAGACCGTGGAATCGGCCGCGGAAAAAGCGTTGTGCGATCTGATCACTGGCTAGTCCAGTGGGCTCACGCACGTCTGAAACGTATGGTGGGATGTGGGAGAATATTCTTCGCGGATTGGGAGATCCCTGCAAGCACTGGAAGTGTCAACATCTCGTTGTGTCTTCTGTCTACGAATGGAAAAGGAGGAATTGGCCTTTTTTAAGTTCCACCCCGTCAAGCTTTCCCCGGGCCGTCCGCAGGAAGCTGAAGGCGGAGATCACAGCTGTGAGAAGTCAAGAGACCGTGGAATCGGCCGCGGAAAAAGCGTTGTGCGATCTGATCACTGGCTAGTCCAGTGGGCTCACGCACGTCTGAAACGTATGGTGGGATGTGGGAGAATATTCTTCGCGGATTGGGAGATCCCTGCAAGCACTGGAAGTGTCAACATCTCGTTGTGTCTTCTGTCTACGAATGGAAAAGGAGGAATTGGCCTTTTTTAAGTTCCACCCCGTCAAGCTTTCCCCGGGCCGTCCGCAGGAAGCTGAAGGCGGAGATCACAGCTGTGAGAAGTCAAGAGACCGTGGAATCGGCCGCGGAAAAAGCGTTGTGCGATCTGATCACTGGCTAGTCCAGTGGGCTCACGCACGTCTGAAACGTATGGTGGGATGTGGGAGAATATTCTTCGCGGATTGGGAGATCCCTGCAAGCACTGGAAGTGTCAACATCTCGTTGTGTCTTCTGTCTACGAATGGAAAAGGAGGAATTGGCCTTTTTTAAGTTCCACCCCGTCAAGCTTTCCCCGGGCCGTCCGCAGGAAGCTGAAGGCGGAGATCACAGCTGTGAGAAGTCAAGAGACCGTGGAATCGGCCGCGGAAAAAGCGTTGTGCGATCTGATCACTGGCTAGTCCAGTGGGCTCACGCACGTCTGAAACGTATGGTGGGATGTGGGAGAATATTCTTCGCGGATTGGGAGATCCCTGCAAGCACTGGAAGTGTCAACATCTCGTTGTGTCTTCTGTCTACGAATGGAAAAGGAGGAATTGGCCTTTTTTAAGTTCCACCCCGTCAAGCTTTCCCCGGGCCGTCCGCAGGAAGCTGAAGGCGGAGATCACAGCTGTGAGAAGTCAAGAGACCGTGGAATCGGCCGCGGAAAAAGCGTTGTGCGATCTGATCACTGGCTAGTCCAGTGGGCTCACGCACGTCTGAAACGTATGGTGGGATGTGGGAGAATATTCTTCGCGGATTGGGAGATCCCTGCAAGCACTGGAAGTGTCAACATCTCGTTGTGTCTTCTGTCTACGAATGGAAAAGGAGGAATTGGCCTTTTTTAAGTTCCACCCCGTCAAGCTTTCCCCGGGCCGTCCGCAGGAAGCTGAAGGCGGAGATCACAGCTGTGAGAAGTCAAGAGACCGTGGAATCGGCCGCGGAAAAAGCGTTGTGCGATCTGATCACTGGCTAGTCCAGTGGGCTCACGCACGTCTGAAACGTATGGTGGGATGTGAGTTGGTCCGTGTCTCCCACAATTCACTGAGACCCACCGCGAGGATGCGGAAAGACAACGACTTGGATGCGTCTAACTCGGGCTGTTCAGTGGAACACGCCTCTAGTCCAACATCTCGTTGTGTCTTCTGTCTACGAATGGAAAAGGAGGAATTGGCCTTTTTTAAGTTCCACCCCGTCAAGCTTTCCCCGGGCCGTCCGCAGGAAGCTGAAGGCGGAGATCACAGCTGTGAGAAGTCAAGAGACCGTGGAATCGGCCGCGGAAAAAGCGTTGTGCGATCTAATCACTGGCTAGTCCAGTGGGCTCACGCACGTCTGAAACGTATGGTGGGATGTGAGTTGGTCCGTGTCTCCCACAATTCACTGAGACCCACCGCGAGGATGCGGAAAGACAACGACTTGGATTCGTCTAACTCGTGCTGTTCAGTGGAACACGCCTCTAGTCGCTTGGCACTCGGGCCACTGTCCGGAGCCGAGACCTCTTCTCTGCCGCTACAGACAATAGTTCTCAGACCTGATGGCCCGGTGCATAAAACCACTGCTTTCAATTCCACGGGCGAACAAGCCGCTTGCGGTGACCGGCATTACTGCTACGCTGAGGAATAAGAATTGCGTAGTTGAGCAAAAATTACTTCTTGTGACAACAAGCAAAGCATTAACACCTGAAGAATTTCTTAAACACTGAATCTTTAACTCTTCGGTGACCCGAGTATTATCAAAATAACAAAATCTCACGGTGAGGCTGCTGAGAGCTCCTCGTTCTTCCAACGACCGGCAGATGGTGACGCTGTACTTGGATCTCGTCTAACAATGGCTCCGCCAAGCACAGCATTAGCACACTCGCTTCTCACATAATAGTTGCACTTTATTCTTGAAGCACAAATGTTTATCACCGCGTTCACAAATTACCGCCACCGGACTCTATCCTGAGCTAGCTGCATCCACAACGACTCCCTGTGAACCCTGTCCCTAGCATCACCACACACACAAATTAATATCTAAATTTCTGTTTACACACAGGGCCCTCAATTTTTACTCAAGCCTAAACGGACATTACACTCACTTCTCAGAATTTGCGTAAAGTATTTTAAATATACGTCAGTTTTCCCGATTCCAAACCAGAAAGATTTTATCCTACTTCAACTGTAAAGTGATCAGAATCATTACAATTTTTCAATCATTAAAATCATAATAGTCGTTAAATAAAATCGATCATTAAACATTTAATTTGAATTTAAACCGAAAACCAATTCCGTATTGTCAACGTGCATGTAAACTCTAGTAAAACTTCAAAGGAATAAAAGAAATTTTAACAGATGACATAACTAAGTGACTTTATATTAAAATATAGGAATTTATAACCACAATGACAAGATTACGAGTTAAAAGAAATGTTTAATGATATCTAAATATTTACCCCTGAAGAGGCGGCTAATCGCTATTACGTGACGCCAAACTCACATTCCCAATTTGAACTTCCTTCTCATTTTATACATTTTGAAAGTTTCTTTACACTGTCATATTTCGAGAAATCCGACTTTTAAAATATCAACTTCCACAGGCGATTCTTAAAATACTTCAAAATCTTTTGCGTAACAGAAACACTTCTTCGAAACCAATTTTTGTTCTATTTATAAAAAAAAAATTCTTGTCATAAACCGAACTTGACTGCCCATCCGAGAATTCCCAAATTCGTAGCCTCTCTTCATTAAAACTAAACTGACTTCTTACCGTTTTTGCCTTTTGGTGGGGTACGAGAATTATTCACACTTAAGAATTAAACACTTATTTAAACTCCGCCATTATCAAATCAAGCAAAACAAAGTCCGAGTCACAGGACAGATTTCACTGCACGACCAACAACGACCAAAGTCCAACTAGAACTGACTGGGTCTGTTATTTTTACTGAAGGCAACAATCAAATGAACACCTGCGTCTAGATGACGTCATCATAAATAAACTCAATGTTCCCCATTGTTCTTTTTAGCGATTGCGCAATAATACGAAATGAGGATTCCTAGAAATAAAATTCTTCTTCTTAAGACCAAAGAGATTTTTGACAAAAATACGTCTATAAGGAAGGGTCATTCGGCAAAAAAGTGTAACGAAAAACGGAAACGAAAAAGGGGAACTAAAGAGTGTAAGATGGTTTCCTAGGAAACATCATCTGTTTATCAACAAATAAACAACAATGGTTACCTAGGAAACGTCACCTGTTTATCAACAAATAAACAACAATGGTTACCTAGGAAACTCTGCGTGCACTTCCCATCTTATCGTCTGTAATCTGACTACTCCACCAACACTAGGTGTGGAGTTCAAATCATGAAGCTTTTGTTACAACTTCCCATTCTCTCAATGCGTTCTTTTGAGTGTCCAGAACAGAAGTTTAAACTTTCGAAACCCATTTCATCTTCCCAAATGAAATTATTGTTATAACCTTATAAACACGCATCTAAATTTTGTACCAAAATTTTCTTCCACTCGTTGGCGACTATGCGGATTAAAAGTCTTATAAAAGTGTTGTAATTAGTCCTGGTAACTTGGATTTAACGGGCGAGCATTGGTTCATTAAAATTACAATAAACGTATAAACAATTATAATTACAATAAAATACATTAATGATTCTTAAAGGTCCTTATTTACTGATCGGCGCTGGATCTAACAAATCCCCGTAACTAACGAATGACCCTTCCGTATAGACGTATATACGTCAAAAGAAGACAAGCCTAATTCTCTTACACGAGTTCACAAATGCAGAAGAAAACATTAAATGTGATGAACAATAATAATAAATTGGAATCCCTTTCCTCAAACTTTCTTCAACTGTCAGAGATCACGATGTCCACCGGCACTTATCAATTTAATCAAAACTAAAATGGAGAGAGTGAAGGGCAGTATCACAGATTTCTTAATAATTCTTATATAAGACAAGTAATTGTGATATTCTAAAAGGATTTCAACAGCACAAAATTGTCTACTCTACGACGCACTTCTTCTACAAGCGATTCACTGCTCAGCTCTTCCGCAATAACGAAAGCGGATTGTTGACGGTGATAATGAAACACAACAATGACAAGTAAACAGACGACGTTTCCTTGGTAACATAACAATGCATACAAGCTGACCATTGTTATCGGTCCATATTTACACATTGTTGATACGGATCTTACACGTTTTCCTTTCACATTTTCCTTTCACTTGTTTGCCGAATGACCCTTCCGTATAGACGTATTTACGTCAAAATAGCAATTGTGTTTAAGTTACATATACAATGTGTATATATTCACACACATAAACGCACACATATCGTCAGAGGTTAAGTAGTGCAAAACCATATCTAAATATTTAACCTGAAATGCAGGCTGCTTACCGCTATTACGTGACGCCAAAATCACATTCCCAGTTTCTATTTCTTTTCCATGTTAGAATCTTAGGAAATTTTTTCCGACTGTCAAATTTCACGAAATTAGCAAATTATTGAAGTTCCAATGCACTAGAACTTCGGCTTTTAACATTTAAACTTTCAGAGACGATTCCTTCCAATCTTCGAAACCAATTTTTGTTCTACATATAAAAAAAAATTCTTGTCATAAACCGAACTTGACAGTCCGTCCGAGAATTCCCAAATTCGTAGCCTCTCTTCATTAAAACTAAACTGCCTTCTTACCGTTTTTGCCTTTTGGTGGGGTACGAGAATTATTCACACTTCCGAATTAAACACTTATTTAAACTCCGCCATTATTAAATAAAGCAAAACGAAGTCCGAGTCACAGGACAGATTTCACTTCACGACCGAAAACGACCAAAGTCCAGCGAGAACTGACTGGGTCGGCTATTGTTACTGAAGGCAACAATCAAATGAACACATGCGTCTAGATGACGTCATCATAAATATACTCAATGTTCCCCATTGTTCTTTTTAGCGATTGCGCAATATCATATAATGAGAATTCCTAGAAATAAAATAATTCTTCTTAAGACCAAAGAGATATTTGACGTAAATACATCTATAAGGAAAGGTCATTCGGCAAAAAAGTGTAACGAAAAAGTGTAACGAAAAACGGAAACGTAATCAAACTTTTAAAGAGTGTAAGATGGTTTCCTAGGAAACATCATCTGTTTATTAACAAATAAACAACAATGGTTACCTAGGAAACATCATCTGTTTATTAACAAATAAACAACAATGGTTACCTAGGAAACATCATCTGTTTATTAACAAATAAACAACAATGGTTACCTAGGAAACATCATCTGTTTATTAACAAATAAACAATGGTTACCTAAGAAACTTCATCTGTTTTTTGTTACCTACGAAACGTCAACTGTTTACTCAACATTTTTGTTACCTTATCTTACCTTACATTACATTAAAATACATTACTTTACATTACATCCAGCTACCACAGACCAATCTTAAGCGTACCTAATTTAAGTTTAATAAGCAATGTCTTAATCAAACTTTACTCAAGTGTAAAGCATGTATAAAATAAATATTTAGAATAAAGCAAATATATAAACTTCCTTTCCGTATAGACGTATTTACGTCAAATTCTCCGGAACCGTGGTTCCACTGACAACTTTTACTAAAGCACAAAAGTAGAATTTATGTTGTAAGAATTTCAACCAGCAAAAAAGAAATTTTCGATCCACCTAAAACCAGACGGAAATTTATCCCTACTGTGCTACATGACTAGCTCCTCTCAACTTCAGTTTAATAATGATCCACATTATTATTATCCTCACAGTTACTTTTTCATCTTGCATGTGGTCCATAACCCCTCAGTATTTCTGCCTAAAATACACGAAAACTTTCCCATACTTTCTGCGTGCACTTCCCATCTTATCGTCTGTAATCTGACTACTCCACCAACACTAGGTGTGGAGTTCAAATCATGAAGCTTTTGTTACAACTTCCCATTCTCTCAATGCGTTCTTTTGAGTGTCCAGAACAGAAGTTTAAACTTTCGAAACCCATTTCATCTTCCCAAATGAAATTATTGTTATAACCTTATAAACACGCATCTAAATTTTGTACCAAAATTTTCTTCCACTCGTTGGCGACTATGCGGATTAAAAGTCTTATAAAAGTGTTGTAATTAGTCCTGGTAACTTGGATTTAACGGGCGAGCATTGGTTCATTAAAATTACAATAAACGTATAAACAATTATAATTACAATAAAATACATTAATGATTCTTAAAGGTCCTTATTTACTGATCGGCGCTGGATCTAACAAATCCCCGTAACTAACGAATGACCCTTCCGTATAGACGTATTTACGTAGACGTAGACGTAGGAGTAGACGTTTCAGAGGTCCTTGCTGCCTTCGCCCCACTGCAGATCATGGCCCGGCGAACTCTGTCGTGGCTACGAGGTTGTGACTCCCTTTTATTTGAAACAGCCATGAAGCCGAAGAAAAATACAAAAAGACAGGTCTGATTCTATGACAGCGAAACATGTCTCATCGTGTTTCGTCCTCTTAAGTTTAACAATTAATCAGTTTGCGGGGTCTCATTGCAAAATTCATCTCCTTCTTCAGACTTCTTTCAAGCTTGACGCTGATTGCTTCCTGGGTGTGCGGCCATGCTG